AAAGAAAGTAACTGAAAATACAGAACCTTCCCTGGGAGGTCTCCTCACCACGTCGAAGGGTGGTTTTTAGTGTGTATTGAAAAGAGCTGTTGTGATAACTCTGTAAGAACTGAAGTATGCTTCTAATAATTGGCATGTACTAATAGAGAAACATTCTTACAGACTGAAAACATAATAATATAATGTTTGTAAGTTTTGGTTGTGACCATTTATCTTTACAGCAATTACACATCACATGGAAATTTGCCAAAAAAATATTTAATGATCTTCAAAAAGAAAATTATTACAGCTTTGCTTTTCTTTGAAAGAAAGCCATAATTGCTTTCATACAATCTTCAGACTGCCATCGTTCTACCAGTCTCTCACATTCGTTCTTATTCACCTCATGAAGAAGATCTCTTTCCAGGTCACGGGTTAGCTTCTTGGCATATATCATTGACTGGTGAAATAAAAAAGAAACCTTAAGTGCAATTCATACTATACTTACTATCACAGACACATTTTTTTCTTTTAATTTCATAGTATAATTAAATTTCTTTTTTTATTGATTTTAGAATCATAGTGGGTAGAGTTAAATTCAATATTTTCAAACAGTTGCAGGATAAAGACAAAATAAACAATACAATATCAAAGTACCTTTTAAAGGAAAAGCATAGCCTAATTAGTTGCATTGTCGTACATAAATTAACAATTAAATACAAGTTGAAATGTGATGATAGATTTTTTAAATCATTTCTTTACAACTGGAAGTTGTGAGCTCAATCATAAGAAGTGTGAATGTTCATTCTTAATGTAATTTGATGAAGTTTTGCAAAATAGTGAAAGAAAAAGTATGACCATTTTGTGTCCATAGCGAGTTTTATTTTTAAATTAATGCACAACTAAAATAGAACCATAAACCCACAACTTAACCAAGTTTGAAAATGAAAAACGTCTTTATGCCTCACAGATAACTAAACCTTTACAACAAATATACAAAATAGTATTTTAATCTTTCAAACATTGACCTCTCTTGATTTGTGAAGTCATCTTGATTATTATTAAAAGCAAGTACTTATGTCTTGTCAATAAAATAATATTATGTATTCTGTGATTTTGATAATGATTTTTAGATAACCTTGATTTTTATGCATAGTTTAGACTCCATCCAAGACTCCAGGTTTGTTACTTGATCACATTTTGAAAAAAACAACAACAACTGATGTATGTGTATTACATGATTAGTCACTTTGAATCATTTTGTTCTTTATTAACATGTCATGATCACATATGCAGAACTAGGGCAAAAGATTGTCATACAATCACACGTAATTACAACTTGGGGTTTATCTTTATTTTTGTGGACATTTAGGAACAAAACTTTAACAATATCAAACTTAGTGAAACAGTCATAAAAATCAGCTTGATGTCTATAGCTTTGAGACATTCTTGGCATATGTCAACAGGATAATATATATTTTTACAATATAAGAAAGAAATAACATATTTATTTTGACTTCAGGGATACTTTAATGGATAAGAACACTCTAACAAAAACAGTTTAGGAACTCAGCAACAATTAGAACAAGTTTTAAACATATAAGCTAAACCTTGATTGTTGAAAAAAATGAATTTTTCAAATCCAAATAACACCCATAAGCTAAATTACTAAGTTTAGTTGAAATATTTCAAAGTGGTCCAAAACTATAGCTTCTTAACATATGCACATTTGTAACCTTACATTTTATTGTAGAATGTGTAGATTGAAAGTCAGGGATTCCCAACCTTTTGAATATCCTGAGCCATCTTAAAATCTGAAAACAAGTCAAGTGTGAGTCATGATGTTGATTCGCTAGCTTATGTGTCAGGACTGCAATCAGTTCATTGTGGTGCATGCACAAAGCTCCTCAAGCACACAACATCATAGCTGTTAGTTAAGTACAAAGCATGATTTCATTTATGTATTTAGTAATAATTTAGTGTTGTCATGAGCTATTAAAACAGCACTGTGTAGGCAAGATGTTATTTGGGACCTAAGAGGATACCTGATCCAAGTAATACATATGGTTAATCACATGTTACAAGAGCAAATAATGGAGTAGTTTGTTAATGCAATGAGATGTGACACAAAGGATGATGTAATTAGTACTAATATATTTGGTTCACAGTGAATTTTCAACCATTGAAAAGTACTATGCCATGGTAGACTTATGGCTGAAGAGATAAGCCATAGCCTTTTAAGGAAGGTAATTTGTATTGTAAAATTTGTAAATGATGTAGAGCTAAAATACATAGTATTTAGAAGGGAGTGTTCAATGTTTCAATGAAATTGGAAAAAAAACACTGAGGACAGCAATAGGCTCTGAAATTATGCCTCAATCAGGAGCAAAACCCTCATCTCAAAATATAAACTATGTTTATGAAAGAGAAATATCTGACTCAAAAAGCAATTGTAATGAAAATGTACATAACTCCTGATGCCATTAACAAAATAACAAAGACCTGGTACTAAGTATCAAAAGTAAAAATTGACAAGATTTCATCCAAAAATCTCAAAATCAACAGCTGATTTTATGAGAAAGATGGCTGATAAAACTAGAATTATAGTAAATCCCATTTGGCCACATATCTGTCAAGTTTCCCCAATGTAGATCTAATGGACTTTTGTACCTTTGATCTGCTTAGATACAATCTTAGAAGTTGATGTCATGTTGTAAAAAGTTCAACATGTATGATCTACAACTGGCATTGCTGTTCTTTACAAAGTTTTGTTAAAATGGAAATTGCAGGTTTGTGTAACAGTGCATAATCATGGCCATGAGAATGAGCACAACCACAATCAATGGCAATACAGAATCTGGAACATTATTTTTATAAAGTGCAATTAATCTTAATTATTTACAGAAAGTTTAATAACATTTCATTTAACTTTAAAAGAAGCCGTTGGTAATTAACAGTAAGAGATAACTGTATTAATAAAAAAAAAGTAAACAAACACGTAAACACTCTCATATTTTTGTTATAATTAAAAAAAAGTTATATAAATATTCTTTTAAGCTTTATATTAACTAGAAACGGTAACTAAGAATTTAAGCATAGATTTAACTTTTATAACAATATGATTATTTAAAACAGTAACTACAATCTCAATTAATGGCATGCAGAAATAGACTGAAGGATAAGTTGTTATAGATAGATAGACTAACAGAAAACTTGCTGTGAAAACCTTAGCAATGAAAACCAGATTTCATGAGGTATTGTGAAGCATTGTAAATCAACTGAAAATTATAGTTTTCTTAAGAATGCAGAAACATTTCTGCATCATCAGCTCTCTCTTTAGCACTTTTCACTTATTTTCTTTCAACAACTGCATTATTCAATACTGCCAAGTATATGTTGTGCTATGTTTACCACTGAATTAAAGTAGTTTTTAACCAAACATAAACTATAACCACCTACATTAAAAGACATGTCTTCAAGGCCTTTCAGTCGAAGAGAAACATCACACTGAAATGTTGCATCAGGAAATACCTCACTGACTAACCCACAAGCTTTTGCTTCTGATGCTGTTAATTTTTTATTAAACAGCAACATTTCATTTGCCTGCAAGTACAGTAATCTAATATAATTGACCAGTCAGATACGGAACTCTCTCTTTAAGTACACAAATACAGCTATTTATATATGGTTTACAAAGTCAGCTTATCAGAACAAACAACATCTGCAAATACATTATAGATTATTATTCTGCAAGCAGTATGACCTATTTTGAAAGATATTCATAAAACATGCAAATTTCTAATACATTTTCTTTTGAATTTATTTAAAATTATTTTTTGTTCATATATTTTGAAAAAATGATAGTAACTTGATGGTTTGAGTGCCAAAGCACTGTAAGTCAATAGGCTTAATGTTTGTAGTAACAATTATGATAGACTGCAGATCTTTTTTATGTATTTTTTTCACATTTTCTCTTACTTTGCTCATTACATGTTTCAGTCATAGATAAGTAAAATACATCTGTAATCTAATGTGACTTTAATCACAAATATAAGGCTAATAATACAGAATTTTTTCATAATACTCACAGTCTGTAGAATCTAATTAATTCTTCATTCTTACATACTTGAACAAGAAATTTAAACTTTAAGAAACAACTAGGCCAGGTGTATTACATAAAGTAAAGAAAAAAAAAAGAAGTAGAAATAACAAGTAACTTACTTTTGATGGTCCCATAATTTTTGGAAATAAATATGATGAGCATCCTTCTGGTGATTGACCAAGTAAACTGAAAGGGGTGTGGAATGTGGCCTTTTAAAACACATGAATAAGAAGAAAAAAAATATACAAATTAATAAAAAATTCTAATAACACTTTTAATTGCAACAGTTTTTGTCAATAATTTCTGTCAAAATACTTTCAGGTATAAATGAAATAATTTTATTAGCTCTGTACACTATTTTTTACCCTTGATTTTCTTTAACAAATAATTAAATGTATTGTTGCGTCAGCGAGTCACGTGACTGGTGTGGCACCACCTATTTTCTAGAACTATCCTGTACCATGGCGAATG